TGATTCTAAATCTTATGGTGGGAGGGGGAACAGGAGGTCCATTTGGCTCATAGTCCCAACATTTAGCCACTTGATTTTGTGTGTGTGTGTGTGTGTTTGGAAAGTTTTGCAACTTCTTTTTATGCACATCAGGCTGAAATGTGACATGCATTATCGGCACTTTTAAACAAATAAAAGATGTTCTTTGGTTAGAAAAAAAAAATGTTTGTTGATCGTTAGCCATATTAAAGAGTTAAAATGTTAATAGCTTGGTATAAGGCCCAGCCCCTTCCACTCTGAGTGGCTGTGAAGTAAACCCCTTCCATTCTCTTTGGCAGGAACTCCATGCTGAAGTAGTCTGTGGATGAAGAGGGTGCCTTGGCGTCAAAAGCAGGCCTATACACCACTTGCTCTTATTATTATTATTTATTGAAATTATATATCACCCCATACCCGGAGGTCTCAGGGTGGTTCACAAAAAAGATCACAATATATAAAATCAAAAACTGGAAGAGTGTGCAGCTTTCCTTCTCCCCTCTGCTTATTGTGATCTGCTGCTTCAGCTTAGGGGGGCTTTGGAGAAGGGGATGGGGAAGAAAGAGGGGCAGCTTTGCCATCACCTCCTGTCCCAAGCCTATCCTTGGGTACTTGAGTACATATTGCCCTGGTGGATCATAAGAGCAGACCTGCTGAATCACACCAAAGGCTCATCTTCATCCAACATCCTGTGGCCAACTAGATGACTTATGGGAAGCCTACAAGCAGGACCTAAATACAACAACACTTTCCACCCTTGTGAAACAGCTGGCATTCAAGAAAGTAGAGGCAGAACACAGCCACCATGGCTAGCAGCCATAGACCAGAAAGTGTTATATTTTATAGTAGGATCATAAATGGATGGCATCTTAACATACCAAAGTAGTAGGGCCTTCCATACTCAGTCTACATCCGTAACAGAATGCTGAAGTGCAGTTCATACATAATTAACTTGCATCTGTTATACATTTGAATTTCACAAGTAATTCACAAGCGTTCTGTATTGCCAAGTATGTACCACTGGGGCTCTATCCATAATTTGCTCTGTTAATTGACAATAAATTCCCCATCTATATGGCCATATGCACAGAATACCGGTACTTGATAATGAAAGAGTGGCTTCTTCATCGATGGGCGATATATAATAACAAATTTACTGAAGAGTGATGCCTGCATAAAACTGCCAACCTTTTTTAGGTAGTTTATCAGTAGTCTGACAACTGCAGAGTTTAAGAGAGCAAAGCTTCTGCCTGCAACCCTTGCTACATCCTAATCCCAGGGACAGCTGTGCATGCCAAAATTCCTGCATGTTAGGGACGCAGAAGAGAAACCAGATAAAAAGCTGACAACCCCTAGAGTTAGAGTTTGTCCATTTTTGAGCACTATTTAGCTGTTAATCCACCCCACCACATTCAGATTAGATAGGATACTCCATTCCACACACAACATGGTTTCCCATTTCTCATTTTCAACTGGCTGGCAACACTCTTGAGGCTACTGAGCATAATCAGTTCTCATTTGGCCACGCAGTTTTTGTTTGCTTGTCCCCTTACAGCACAGGTGGGAATCTTACAGCCCTATAAGACGCACCAGACCACAAGACACACCTAGTTTTTGGAGGAGGAAAACAAGAAAAAAAATATTCTGAATCTCAGAAGCCAGAATAGCAAGAGGGATCGCTGCGCGGTGAAAGCAGCAATCTCTCTTGCTGTTCTGGCTTCTGGGATAGTTGCGCAGCCTGCATTCGCCCCATATGACGCACACACATTTCCCCTTACTTTTTAGGAGGGAAAAAGTGAGTCTTATAGAGCAAAAAATATGGTAGTTCTTTGCTTAATTCTGGTGGCTCTTGATAGCAAGAAGGGGGAAATGGGGGTGGGGGGCAGACAGACACAGGGAAAGGAAAACATGCAACCTACCCCTGACTTAGGGGTGTTGTTTAATTGTTATTTTGTGTCCCAAACCTCTCACTTCTTCATGTCCTCTATGCTCACCTGTGCTTCCACCTTTTCCCCTTGCCAGTTCACACTCCATTTTCTGCTTTCTTCCTTCTCCTTCCTTTTTTTCTCTTCTTCCACCAAGCAACACATGCATTTCCTCTCATTTGGTTCAAATCTGGCTCATGCTCTGGAAAGGTGGCTTCATTCATCAAAACTTCCAAATCTGCTCTTCACACACCCCCACTCCTACCCCTTTTCTTCTGTGTAGTCACACACACATCCACAGTCTTGTTGTTTTCTTGTCTCGAAGAGTTTTTGCTCCCCAAGAGTTGACCTTGTCAATTTTGTTTGTTTTGTTTGGTTTTTTTGCTTCTGCAGACATCATGTTTCGCTCGAGCATGGCACAATACTTTCCTCCTCCTCTTCATGGCAGCTTAGGCTACCTAATGATTGGCAAACATGCCCACATTTTGCTGCTGCTTGGAACAATTGGTATAGCCATTACCACCAGCTACTGGAGAAATGAAGGGGAGGAGAACGCCAAGGTGCTGCACAGATGGCATCATTTCGCTCAATGAATTTCAAATTAAAATGTGCCTTAGGGGCAAGGTATATGTACAACTGAATAAAATTCATCTCTTGAAACATTATGGTAAACATAGAAATGAATACATATATAGAATACCACATCACATGCTAGCTGTTCTCTGTATTACTTGGGAAGGAATCGCAGATCAGTGCTGGAGCATATGCTTTATATGCATAAAGTCCTAGGCTCTGTCCAGGTGAAAGGTGGTTGAGCAGCAAGGTTGGGGCAGACCTCCACTTGAGACTTTGGGACATTGCTGCCTGCCAAAGGAGATATAAATGTTACCTGAAAACATAACTTGCAGTTATGAGTTGGTGCTGTCTGACAACAGGCAAGGAGGATGGGTTCATCTATTATAAAGGCTCCTACACTCTGGTGGACCACCTGTGGGCCACAAGCTTCCTTCAGGTGATCTGTGGTGTGTATGTAGGTTTGTGCTTTAAGACGGCAGATAGCATATCCCTTGCATTAATGCTCATATGGATTTTAACTGTATTTTAATTGCTTCTTCTATTTCTTCTATTGCATTTTATTACTCTGAGTTACAAAGATGTCTGCAAATGATACATGAAGGTTGGCAACATCAACCCTGCCATGAAGGAATCCCTTGCAGACAACCACAGTGTCTGGAGACAGACAGTCATGTATCCAGAAGAGGAATGACTGCTGGGAGGAACGCAGAGAGAATAAACATCATAGTGCATCTGCAGCAGCACAACTGTATGCTTTCATCTGCCCCAGCTGCAACAAAACATGTCTCTCCCACATTAGTCTCTACAGCCACCACAGGCACTGTAATTCAACAGTTTGACTTCACTCCCAATGGCACACTCCTCCATTGTCTCCCAAGACAGAAGGGTACCAATAATTTTGTTACAGTTTGAATTCTATTGAATACAAGTTGTAAGAGAATAAATGCAATTTATAAGAAATAAAATAAGCAAAAAAACCCCAATGATCCTACTGCATCTAGCACAGTGCATGACACTTGTTCATGGAGGAGAGGGCTATTAGCAGCTACTAACCATTATGGCTATGCTCTACCTCCACAATTGGAGACAGCAATATTTCCAAATGCCAGTTGCTGGAAAGCAAGGGAGGAGAGAGTGCTCTTGTGCTCATGTTTCATTCGCTGGTTTCCCATAGGCAACTGGTTAACTACTGTGAGAACAGGATGCTAGACTAGATAGACCACTGGCCTGTTCCAACATTATGTTCTCAATTACAATAGGCAGAAAAATCATTAAGTAGTCCACCCCCCTCGTAATTTTCAAGTGGCCAGTATGGGAAATGTTTGGGAACCACTGATCTATTACAGTGGTACCTTGGGTTACATACGCTTCAGGTTACAAACGCTTCAGGTTACAGACTCCGCTAACTTAGAAATAGTACCTCGGATTAAGAACTTTGCTTCAGGATGAGAACAGAAATCGTGTTTCGGCGGTGCAGCGGCAGCAGGAGGCCCCATTAGCTAAAGTGGTGCTTCAGGTTAAGAACAGTTTCAGGTTAAGAACAGATCTCCAGAACGAATTAAGTTCTTAACCCGAGGTACCACTGTATTTAATCAATGTCCAAATTCTCCACCCATCTATATATTGCCATTGTCCAACAATGTGGCCTGGGAATGCTTTACATTTGAAGGGTGGAATACAAAGATATAAATATTAAAAATCAATTAACCAATAACATGAATTGGTTGCGACTTAAAATGAGCTCTTTTCCGAGTTTTTCTTTTTCTGATAAGCAAACACAACAGTGTGGTACTTGTCTGTGCACACACCAAGGAAATCAATTGTATTTCTGCAGAGAATGTCGGGGGGAGCATTACTGCCGTCACCTGTGGGGAACCTGTCATCAGTCCCAGATACCACAGCCAATGGTCAGGGATGATAGGAGTTGTAGTCCAGCAACATCTGGTTCCTGAGCCATGATCTTTGTGATGGGGGTTGTAAGTAAAGGAGAAAAGGAAGAAGTGAAGTGAATGAACTCATTCCCCGCCCCCCCACCTATTGTTTTTAAACGTACATCAGCTCTAAAATTAAGAGGATTATATAATTTGTAAGTATCACAGCTTCGGATTTCAGATTCATGCTCTAGTTAGGAATCTGTGAAAGGAAGACGCTAACAGTTATTTCAGATTTACGAAATGAGTAACTGGGCGTGACCTTGGGTGTGCGAGAAAGGGACATTAAGGATTTAATCCAAAACAAAGTAAATTCAGATCGAACCCCTCTGAACTCCATAACCATGCACAGATCAGATTACGCATTAGGCGTCAAAGAGAAGGGGAGACACCCTATGTTAATTTTTTAAAAATAAAAATCGTAACGCTTTAGAAGAAAGAGGGGGGTGGGGAATCTATATGAGAGATATAATTACCATAAAATGTAATAATAATATAAAGGGCGGGCGTGGGGGAGCGACGAGCAGGGAGCTCGTCGGTGGGAGCGCGCGTGCCGGAGGCGCTAGGTAGCGCCGAGAGGTGTGCGCGGCTCCGGGAGGGGCTGGTCCTCCTCTTTGAACTCGGCTCGCCAGGCAGGATGAGGCGGTCCCTGTCGGGGCGGCGGGCCCTACGTGCGCAGGGCTGGCGAGGCGGCGAGCGGGCGCTCCCTTAGCTGGCTCCGGCGGGCGCAGGAGGGATCCCCGCGGGGGGACGGAGCCAGGTGGCTGCGGCGGCGGCGCTGCTGTACGCCGTGCGGATCCGGCTGGGGCGCCACACGTCCGGGGAGGCGTGCGGATGGGAAGCGGCGGCCGCGGCGGCGAGGGCGGCTGCAGCGGCGGCGGGCATGGGGGAGCAGCTGAGCACGGCCAGCGCCCCGCGGGAGTCAGCCGCCGCTACAGCCAGCGCCCCCGGGCCGCCTCTCTCGGCCGCGGGGAGAGGGAGGGCAGCGGCGCCCCGTCCAGAGGGCGACCCGGGGCCGCCGCCGCCGCCTCCTGCTGCTGAACCGCTGGGCCGGGAGGCGGAGGACGGTAGCGCCGTCGCTCGCCCGGAGGAGGGCTCCGGCTCGGAAGCGGGAAGCAGCCCCAGCCGCCGGCTTCCTCTGAGGCCCGTCTACTGCACCGTCTACTGCGTGGAGAGCGACCGGCGGCCCAGCGCCCCGCCGGCGTCTCCGCGCCCAGGAGGGGACCCTGGCCCCGGCCTCTCGCCGCCGCCGCCTTCCCTGCCAGGAGGAGGAGGAGGAAAAGGCGGCGGGGACGGCAGCCTCGAGGTGGACTTGTACCTGCTGCCCGAGCCGTTCTCCGGGCTCATCTCCGGGGACTTCGGGCCCTTGCTGGTGCTGACTTGCCGCGTGTGTCTGGAGGAGAAGCCCCTCAAGCCCTTGCCCTGCTGCAAGAAGCCCGTCTGCGAGGAGTGCCTCAAGTTCTATCTCAGCTCGCAAGTAAGCATGGCGCGCTCCCACCTCGCCCGCTTTCGGCCGTGGCTCTGCCTTTCCCCCCTCAGCTCCTTTCGCCTGCAGGCCTGCGGTCTTCCCGCCTTGCTCCAAGGATACTAGGTCAACGCCACTGTTCTCCTGCCGTTGCAACTTCCAAGGTTATGCCCTAGTCTGGCCTCTCCCCACCTCAGATAGGAGCAAGCGAGCTCAGCTCTAGAACAGCTGTTAGGGCTCTGAACATGTGCAGAGCGCCTTTCCTAAGCCTTGCCTGCTTGCCATTCCCCATACTCGTCTGGGGTGGGGGGGGTACAAGGCCGCCAAGAAGCAAGTTGCCACTTCCAGGATTGTGTGAATGGCTTTTCCCATGGAGGCTGCAATGCTTAACCCCACACTCGCCCTGGGACCCAGCCCCTTTGAGTAGGTTTCATGAGTAGACATGGTTAAGATGGTGCTGTAAATCACTATTGTGATTTGTTGTTGTTCTGCTCCTTTCCCATATGTCAGTGTTTGGCCTGTTCAGTTGTGAGGACAAACCCATCTCCATTTCCCTGTAAGGAGGAAAAAGCCATCCACTGTGTAGGTTTGTTCCCTTCACCCACCCCAGGAGATACAAACACAATAGCCTGGCCTCAGATCCTAATGTCTCCTTTGTGGGGGAGTGTGTTGATTTAATATCAGCTGATTCCTTATCGCTGAGGAAGGTCATATGGACCATTGAAGGCAGTACAAAGACTAGATAATGCATCTGTTATTCAGGAGGTTAACTGCCTTCTGTCTATTGCGACTTTACTCACTGCTGTAGGAAATCTTAGCTGGTGTTTGTGTTTTTGTACATGTACACAAGCTCTGTACATATTTCCATGCAAGAGCTGCTGCTTGCATTTCTGTTTCTGCAAAAAAAAATAAAAAATACAAGAAGACATGGATTACCATACTGATCATTAAGGGGGGGGGATTAAAAATCACAGTAGGGTAATACCTTACTAAGATCAACTGCAATTCTATAAAGTAATGAGATGTATTTCAAAAAGAACAGCTGTTTCCAATATGCTGTTGATCATTTTTATGTTAGTCATACAGAATGTTTAATGAATGGAGTGAATTTGGAGTCTTCATCTTGTCTATACTGATAAACCACCAATGTGGTGTGTGTGGTTAGAGTGTTTTCATAATTTTCAGTGGGTCTTCTCTAACTAGAATAGAATTAGTTGAGCAGCATCCATAGGAAATTCCCATGCTCAGTTCTGGGGCTAAATTATTTCTGTTTGAACCCCACCCCTTTGAGCTTGATCTTGTGATTTTTCAGCTTCATAACAAATTCAGGTCTTTCAAGACTGTCGGAATGTGGACTTGCTGATAGTGTCTACTGATATGTGCACTTCCTCATTGTGTTGTATAAAATTTCCCAGTCCTTGCAGGGATTTCACCCTTTCTAAGTGTCACAGAGGCAAAGGTAAAACTTAGAGAGGCCTGTAGCTTTGAGAGACTTGTGTCACTTTTCCAAGTATTTAATCAGCAGAAAGGACTACTTTTATCTAGAGGTTTTTTTTAAAAAAAATTCAACTCTGCATCTGTCTTCCTGTTTAAAATGACAGGTTCTCAACAGATTTGTTAAATGTGTTGCTGCAACTTCTTAGTGGTATTTCTGACTGATGACAGCAAAACAATAGGAGCAAGTGATCACATACCTATGTAAGCAAGCTGGTTATTTAATTGTAAGGTACTGGTATTTAATTTGTTCAAGTTGTATGTCATAAGCAATAATAGTGCTGAGTATGTTGCAATTTCAGAAGTATTTCATATTTGATCTCTCAATAATCCTGGCCTGCAACGATGATGTGTTAGATCAGTGTTGCACTGCACACCACTTGCAACTTTGAGCATTCCATGCTTTATTTGACCAAGAGAGGGCGCAGTATAAATAGTCTGTTCTCTGGGTATTTGTGGCAATTTTTAGAGGAAGCATCAAGGTGAGGGAGGAAGAGTCTGCATACATGGCTAGGAAGCTGATCCTATCTTTCAAAGCCCACCTTCAAGAAACCATCAGGCTCTCTGGAGCATCACTATTCTTGTTCCCACAGCCCTCCATGTGTTGGGAGCTGAACCTCTGCAGTGGGGAGCCTTTTCTACACCTGAAGAGGGTTTAAGCAACTTGTCCAAAGGAACTTATTTGAAGAAGAAAGTAGCCTTGTTGTTTTTTAAAAAACACACCCCACAAACCTGGTTTTTTCTTCCACAAAGTTTCACATCTGTACCTGTACATGGTGCCAGGGAGGATAGGCGGTGATGATGTTTTAGTTAAATTTAAATTTAGCAGTATAGGCCCAGGGCCCAGCAAAACTCTTTCTGCTGTTGTAAGACTTTTCCAGGATTGAAAGTTCTGAATCTTCAACTTTATGCCTCTGTCCTAAAATGGGTGTAATTTTTTTTTACCTGATCCACAGTTCCTTTCTTCCAAATAACCAAAATGGAAAACCAAAATACCTCTTTGTTTCCATTCCTTGTTTAATTGTGGACAGGTCATTTCCCTTTTCCACCTTTACTGAGGAAGGAGGAACTTAACTGAACAGAATGGGAACTTCTCCTGGATTTCTGATTTTCACTGCTTTAGAAACATTTTCTTTTCAGAGGGTCTGGTAGAAGTCAGCATCAGTGTGTGTGCATGGAACAAAATGCTGATTAGAGCCAAACTTCTTTTTCCCAGTGTAAGGCTCAAAGTGAGTAAGGAATCCTTTATAGCCCAAGGACCACATACTCTAATGGGAAACCTTCCATGGACCACATACCAGTGGCAGGTGGGGTCAGAGGCAAAGGTGGGCATAGATTTGATGTTTTCCTTTGTACCAGAGGCCACATTTCAGCCATGCAAAAGATGAGAGTCTCTGCATGCACACACACATCTCCATCCAGACAAGCTAGAGGTCACAGTTCATGGACATGTGTCAGCCAGGCAGAAGCCATTGAGACACAGAGCAGTCCTGGTAAAGAAGTGTGGCCTGGAAATAGATGTGGTCTAGTGAGAATCCCAAGAGCCAGATAGAAAGGCCTGACAGACCACTTTGGTCCCTCATCCCAAGGTTCTTCACCTCTGCTTTAATGAATCAGTTTGCATCTCATTCCCCAGATGCATGGAAATGAACTGAATGGTATTTCAGATGTTGACCTGCTGGAGAACTTGTACTCTGCAGACTGGTGCTGGCAAGCAGGGCTGATGCATGGAGGTCAAAGTGACCCACATCAACACAGAATCTTTTGCACAGCTAAGTCCATAGGTCCAAGTCTTGCAAAGACTTGAGCAAATATTTAGCTGAGAATATGCTGTGCATCTAAATGAAGGCAAGGGCGGGGGTAGTTGGTTGGAAAGGTGAGTATTTGTTAAGAGCACCTGCTTCACTTTTCATAAACCCTATTTCGGTTAGTGTTATTCCATAGACTATGGCATGTGCTTTGTGTGGCTGGTGAAAGGCAGGAGTAATATCACTTTACGAAATGAGATGAGCTTGCAGGAATGAAGGAACTGGGTGCCCTTTCGATTCATACCAAAAGCACAGAATTGTGGCAGCTTCACTACACAACCATGTGCTCACTAAGCAGAATCGCTTGGTGAGGAAGCAGGGAAAATATTCTGCATGATATCATTCTATAAGTGTCATACTTGAAAACATGTGTTGGTCATGTGCTGGCTTGAAGCAGGTGGTAGGGAAAGACTGATTGTTCAGGCCAGGAATGGCAAAGGGATTGTTTTTACAGTGCTAGTAAAGGACTAGCACATTCTGGGGACTTGAAAATTAGAAACTGTTCATGTGTTTACTGTAGAGCTTGGCACATCATCACCAAGATATAAAGTTTGAATAAGGATAAATGCCTGGTATTCCTCATGGAGGGAGCATACTTGGATTCACTCTAGCCCTTTTTGGATGTTCTGCAGCTTCATTTAGTAAACACACAAGGGGGAAGTGAGATAAGCATGCTAGCTCCACCTATTTGTTCTTGTCACCTTTCAACTCCCTGAGGCTGTCTGAAGCTGGGAGCCTTATGTACTCAGGCAGGCTCTCTGTATATTTTAGAACCTTAGAAATTCAGGACTCTGAGTACAGGAGGCTCCCAGCTTCAGACCGTCGCCATTAAACTCATAGAATCAGGGCCAGCTCTACCATGAGTCAGAGTGAGGCAACCACCTCGGGTGTCAAACGCAGAAGAGCAAGGAGTGGACAGAGATGGGTGTGCCATATGATCTGCTTTGCACCCCACAATTGCAGCCTTTGAGTGCAGTGGAGGTCTCACCGCCAGTGTCAAAGTAAGATTTGCCAACCAATCTGGTCAGCTTTCATTTGCAAAATGGGGGAGTACAGTATTGTCCTTCCCCTGAGGCAGCAAAATGTATTTGGTGGGCCCTGCATGAGGGCCAATGAAAATGTTGATGGAGTAGATGGAACTAGCATGCTCATCCCCACTGCCTGCCATTGTGTGGTTACCACACACAGTTACAGCATGCCTTAGAGGGGGGGCTTGTGTGCCAGCCCCTTCCTTTACATTCTGCCTCTCAGGCCTAAATAGATTGCATAAAGTTAACACATGAATTCAAGATCCAAATCAGGAGTGACATTTACAGCAACTTGAAATGGCAAGGTAATGTTTAAGGGACAGGGAGAGAGTGGTTTCACAATAAAAAGTGCATCCGAGTACTATGATAAATTGTTTCAAACCAAATTTTAATTTATTGTTAAGTCATTTAAAAGTTGCTTTGAAAATTCCTTTTTAGGCGAATTTTTTTTTAATGTTTGATGTTTTATTGTATTTTCAATATTCTGTTGGGAGCTGCCCAAAGTGGGTGGGGAAACCCAGCCAGATGGGCGGGGTATAAATAAATAAATAAATAAATAAATAAATAAATAAATAAATAATATTAGTTAAATGTCTTTTAATTTCGTGTTGCGATTTTAAAACAACCAGCCACATAGGTATTTGTGCCTAATGCTTTATTTTATATAAATGGTGTTATTTAT